AAAAAAAAAAAAAAAAAAACCTGTACATACGACTTGGACCAACCCAAAAGATGGCACATGCAGAGAGGAGAAAGAGGGCCTCCTCTCTCGTGGCATCTGTTGCATCGTGGTTCGACACCACCACCATCACTGGCCGCACCACCAGAAGGCACCATCACTACCACCGGCCCTGACGACCACCAGGTGCTATCCACCTTCCGTGTCTTTCCCCATCGTCGTCTTCGAAAAAACCTTCTTCTCCCCTCCCCACGTCCCTCGCCATTATTCCCCGAGATTTCCACCATCTGCGTCTCTGCGATCCACCCTTCGCCCCATCTCTCTCCGACATTCGTGATCCACATTGGTTCATCGTCTTCGTTAGAGAAGGAGAAGAAGAGACCTCTGCCAAACCACCTTCTGCGAGAGGCTAATTGTGACTGGGATGATTTCTTGTGTCCGGGAGGTGGATGGGGTGGAAACGGACTGGAGCTTGATGGATGCTGTCTGAAGAATATGTAATAGGATGGGGAAGAGTCTAGGAGGTTTACTTGACACGGAAGTAGAGGTAATAATATCAATAAATTATTTTTCAAATGTGTTTGTTGTATGTATATCATTTCTATGTTCTATCCATTTGTTTTAGATCAGATAAATTGGAAAGATAATATTGGTGATAAAATTTTACAAGTCACAGTGATAAGTTTTCTTGCTTAATAATAGCAAGAGATAGTGAATCACAGGTAAATTACCAAAGAGGTAAATTTAATTATAATTTGTCATAACTTCTAAATTATGCAAGATGCCATTTATATTCTCTATAAATAAAATAAGCATATTAAAATTAGATTTTAAGAATAAAGAATCCAATTTCTAATATGTATTCTCTATTTCCTAAATTCTTGTTGTCCGTTGATTTTTTATTTCAGTTAAATGAAGGGAGAAAAGAAGAAACTGGAAATTTTCTTGTTCTCAACCGCCGCCGCCAACCGGTTCGTCTATTTCATTCGAGTTTTCAAAGTTTTCTCCGCCGTTAATGGGACTGGCTGTTGTATTGCGAAAAGAAAAGGTGGCGGAGGGATGGCAGCGGTGGAAGGAAGGAAGAGGAGAATGGCATGGCACCGTGCATTCTTCGTAGACTGGGTACACAGGTATGTGGCCCATTGTGATTACGTCTCCGCGTGAAACCAAGTATGCAGATTCCCCTTCCTCCGCCGACTTTGCACTCCAGCACACCTGATGAACGTATTCTTCCAGAGACACGCGATGTTTCGAGGACTCCATCGAGAAATATCGATCCTGCTATGTCCACTGACTTGGGCTAAGTGTTTCGTCGAGGATTGCGTTGCTTAGAAGAATCATGATAACAATCTACTTTATATCTTGATCAAAAAAAAAAATTTAAAAAAGAAAAGTATGATATACACACATTCGTTAACTTAATAATAAATGAATAAAGTGCAGTTTACTTCAAACTTTGTCACAAGATAATCCGGTCAATATGTATATTGAGACATTAATCGTTCAATTTAGATTATACAAAGTAACAACCGGTTACTTTGTTGAGTAATTATTAGTTTGAAACGTAGATATCACGTTGGAATGGCTTGAAGGCAGATAATGCCAGAAATAACGACTTGTAGTGATACACTTGAGCGTTACTAAACGGCAGCCGCTAAGCGTGCCGTGCATACGAATTATTCTATATACCCGTAATTGCGGGCATAGAATCGTTGGAAACGGTTCATCGGTAATGATCATCGTTTTTAACCGTTCACTTCGTCTAGCTTATTTATCCAACGATAACATAATTGTTGCCCGGTTAGTAGATACGTAATTATCTTGCTCTTGGCCCCATCGTGCAATTATTTATTGCGTGATACCTGTCGACCGGAGGAACAGGTTGCCACAGCTTGGGAATTCGTTGTGTAGGCATTCGATTTCCGTGATATTCTCGTTTATTAGATTATTCACAAATTTCATCAATTTATTTTAAAACCTAATATTATCAATCAAATTAAATATTTTTTTATTTTTCTACATCATAAAATTGTATATACAATTTTTTAGAAACTTATTTTTAGAAAAAGATTATCATGATTAATATTATCTATTGTAACATAAAAATCGCTGTTCAAAAATATTTCCAATATATTACAATTTTTAATATAGCGTAATTTCAAAATCAAAGCGTCTTAATAATTCGTGTTACAATACGTGCTGGATGTATACTCCATTATCATCTTGTGGTAACCGATAATATATAAGAACAAGTAAACAGTGGAGTTGAGTGGAGGCAATTTCGCATGGCAACAATTGCACCCCTCTGATGTCTAACCCCGTGTTCGCGAAAGAGGCGAGAACGAACGCGAGCATCCTCTTTATAACTGCACGAGCCTAAAAAATTTCTGCTTTCACAGCTGCTGGCTCCGCTGCGTGTGCCATTCGAAAGTTGTTTATACTTTCGCGGCAGCGAATGCATGCATTATCACGAGTGGCTGGGAGGAGCACGCGGATGAACGTAGTCCGAAGGGTATATACGCCCGGTTGCGGGACAACTTTCGTAACAGTAGCGTGTAAGTATCGTTCAGTTTGCGCAGGTGATGCAACCGACCCATCCAGGCCAGATATCGTGCAGAAAAGGAACAGATTGTGCCTGTGGTGGCCAGCCCATGCCGCATTCTGCCGCGATTATCGATCCCGCATTGTATTCGTGCCGATCGGATGTTTGACACCGAGCACGATTATTTGTGTAAGGCGATAATAGCTGTTCAGCAATTGCGTGTCACTGTTTCGAGGGAAAAAAATATCTTTAGAGGATAGAGATATTAACCCTCTAATGGCTTCGATATTATTATGATCATTGACCGATTGATAACGACTTTTTTGAATCGTTCATGATACACGATACTGATCTGAAAATTATTGTGTTTATAAATGTTAATGAAAATTGTAAATCTGGATATTACGATATATTAATTTTTTTGTAATAAAAATATCGTTAAGAGAATATTTGAGAAAAGAAAAATAATTTTGTGAGACTGCTACAGGACGATTTATAAAGATTGATCGATAAAATGGAAGGCGAAATCTGTAGAGAAGGAGTTTGCTCAGGCGAAACTCTTCGTGGCTAATTAATCGTGAACGCGAAATACCTTTGTTGCGAATATCGAGAAATCGATTCGGTTGTGCACTGGTACTTTCTACGTTGTTTAGAAGCGATTCACTTTGCCACCACTTTCATTTCCACTGATTAATTTCTTGTCTTATTTTTTTTTTTTTGTTTAAAGTATATCTTTTAAATAATTATTATATCTTTAAATAATTTTTGACCCAATTTTTTTATTTCCAATCTTTCAGCTCTTAAAAAATCAATTCTTTTATTTTATTTTCTTTAAATACATCGTGAAAATCTAACAGATGCGCAATCCAGCGTGGCTAATGAATTTTATGAGCGTTCCATCGTATTTTAGAGAGTCTGGATCTCTCGTTCGCGAAGCTGTTTCCTGTAACCAGTTAAGACTGCACGAAATTAATCAATTACGAACTAAAACAGCTTTTCTGCCACGGTACATCTACCTCTGGTACACTGTTCACTATGCTTCACTTCTCTTCCTTCATGCTCCAATTCGTCCATTCGTTCGTTCGTTCCGTGGATAACAGAAGTTACCGGAATTTAATAGTCCGCTGATTCGAAACGTACAACCATTGGCCACTGTGGAAATATTCCACGTGAAATTACAGCATGCGTGTCCTAATATCGTCATACTAGATATGCGAATGCAATTCGTTAAATCTAGTGATAATAATTCTAGTAATATTTAAAGTCACTAGGTACCATCAATAATGATGAAATAATTTTGGTATAGATAATTTTTTTAATTTTGAAGCAGATTTCGTTTTACGATTAAATATTTATAATGGTACAATGCACAAAGTTTCATTATACATTCATATGAAAATATAAAATTACTGAATCGTACCAAAATTTCACCATCACTAGTGACCTCTAAGCAAGTTACCAGTCGTAGTGTTTCGTAAAATATTTTATCTTTTCTTTTTTTTTCAATAATAATAAAGATTTATAAGATATTTTTAACAAAATGAAAATTATAGATAAAGAAGAAAGGAAAAGATAAAAGCAATTGATATACAAGTCATATCAGCCGCGATCAATTTATTGCAATATAATTAATATAACCTAGTAGCACTATTTTTAATTACCGCCGCTTTCGCGATAGAGATCGTTACACTTTCGCTTGTTTTCAAAATTCCGATCAGATTCGATGAACAACCAATTATAAAATTGTTATGAGCAATTGCAAAATATCTTACGGGGAAATAAATGTTTAATAAAGTGAGAATAGTTGAATATAGAGAAGAAAACAAAATAATACCGTTCACTGTGAAATTTGTACGATATTATATTCCTTACTCGCTTTCCAATCCGATCGTTCGAATTCGATTCGAAAAAATGAATGGTGGAACGAGGCGTCAGCTGTCTATACCGAACTGCAAAAGTTCTATTAGAGGTTCAAAAAGGGTAAAATAAGAGAGGACAGAAAATAGAGAAAGGAGAAAAAAAATAAAGATGGATGGAAGAGAAAAGAAAAGAGGAAAGGGAAAGGTGTGTAGTTCGCGGATTCAAGCTGCACGGACACCAGAAACGTCCCACGGTTTTCGAGGTTCAGCAGGGTTAAAAGGAATTACATTATCGTGAAGCGTTTGGGCGTGGGAGACCTGAACCCTGTTTCTCGAGGATCCGGCTGTGATGCACCCGTTGCACCCGCGACCTACCTTCTGTACTTCCTCCATGGCCTGCGTCGATCCTTTATTTTTTCATCCACTCCCGAAAGGAAGGATCCTGATGCGGTATTGTGAAGACGATTTTTTCGAGGATTAAGTAAGATGGCGTGGATATGAATAGTATATAACGGGATCGAAGGAAATTTCAAACGATGAAGAAGAAATGGATGATTCGTACATTGTTTTGGAAATATAGGTCAATATCTCGAAATTATAAATATGTTTTTAAATTATTGTAAAAATTTTTTTTTTAATTGTTACAATTTTTAATTTTTAATTTTACAGTTCAGGTAAACATTATGTGTGTATCACGAACGATTAAGAAAAGAGAATTACAAAGTGGATGTATTAACTTTAATTAAACTGTCCATAAGATTAATATCACGTATATTCAGGCTTCAATATTAATAATATAATTGATATAACCAAGAAACAACATCGATATATTAAACTAAATATATTAATACTATTAAAAGATAAATTACACGAAAGATATCGCAAAACTTTTTCCTCATTTATCTTTGATAGAACGTATTAATCTGACATAATCTTTCGGCTCTATATCTTTCCAGGTTCCACTGTTTGGTAGCCATCAGCTTCTAAAGGGAGACAGATGAGGTGGACCACTGGCAGGTAGCCGGTGTATGTGGTGCAGCAGGTGAGCAGTAGGTCAACTCGGCTCACATGTACATTTATATGCGTGTCCGATGCTCGATACAAGAAAGTTCTTTGTCTCGATGAAAATGTATCGTGTGAAATCAGAAAATTCATGAACTGGGAAAAAGATTTTTTAAATAAGTTTTTATAAGGAAACAATCATAAATCAAAAGTCAAGGTCATTCAAGATTATACAAGATCAATTCATCGAGAAACATCCTATTGGAGAATTTTTTTCAATATTCATTTTTATCGTCATTCGCTAAAACTGTCTCCTCTTCAATTATGCAATAATGCAGATTCACTGTACTTTAAGGTAAAACTTAACATTATCTTTTAATATAATCAGTTATTTCCAAACGATTCCTTTTGATTTCATCATCCACAAACAAATAATAAATGCATGTATCATCAATTACTCAATGTCTAAACAAAATATGTTTCTTCTAGGCTCTCATCAAAATTCTTGGAAAATTGCAAGAAACTCGATACCAAGCAAAAAGAACTTTATCGACCGTTCGAAATGATTCGAGTTTTCGATGTACAGCCGGTACATACATACTCACACAGAGTTAGGAGTCAGGTAGTAAGGTGGGTAGGTGGTGGGTAGGTAGGTGCATACGCGTAGCGTGGGAAGGTCCGGCAGCTGAGAGCAGAAGGGGCCCCAAAAAGCGGCTGCAGCTTCTTCTTCTTGCCTGTTGCTGCCGCTGCCCTCTGCCTCGGCCCTTCCTCACCCGTGGGACCTGCCCACTTCTTCTTCTTCTTCTGGATATACGACCCCTCGACCGAACCATTCAGATGCCCGTGAACGCGACTTTTCCGCTTTCCTTCTTTGCCTGTATACAACCTCTCTTAATTCTCAGCTGTGCCAGGACCTTATCGAATATCGTGTAAGTATACAAACTGTCGTTCAATGATCGATTTGGAAAGTTTGCAAAGTCAATGCTAAAATGGGAATTTTGAAAAAAAAAATTTTTAAAGTTTATTTGATTTTTTTCTTTAAGAATGAAAAAGTAGAATTTTGATAATAATGGATCGTTTGGATTCAATGAAAATTATTTAAATGTGAAAGTTAATTTTTTAAGGAAGAATAATAATTTTTATAAAAGATCCAAAGAAAATAGCATAGAATTTTAAAATCCAAAAAATGAAATTTAATTTCCCAATAAATCACTAATTAATTAAATCATTTAATCATTTCTTTAACTCGACGTATTATAGAATTAATAAAAATAAATATTTGAAGCGTAAACTCGAATCAAGACGTTGAGAATCTTTTCTTTCAGAGTACGTATAACGTTGAGACATGGGAAGGTAGTTTCCACGGTGATTCCCAATCGCGGATGCAAGACGTCGCGACGACAAGGACAACGATAACCACGACGACATCCTGTCCCTTGAATTGAAAGGACGGAGTATTCGGTGAAGGTCTTATTATTAATTGTTCGAGTTCCTGCTCAAACACTGGAGATTAAATCCGGGAGGAACTAATCCGGCACGTAGTGCCTCTTTATTCCGTCTGTCCCACGTAGAGAGAAGCCTCTCTCACACACACACACACTCGTCTCTATAGATGTTACGTCCAAGGTATGGTAGATAGATCGAGCTCTCTGTGAATCGTAAATACACGTATATACACTCTGTCCCTCCATGTGTCTTCGTGAGAGTAAATACACTACGAATCTTCGTGAATGAAATTTTAACCCTTGAATCGCGTTCTCTACCTGGAATATCTTCTTTTTTTTATTTTTATTCTTCTTCTTTTTTTTCTCTTTTTTTTTTTTTTTTTTGTTTAAGAAGCTTCAAGTTCATTGTAAAACACCGCGAGAATGTTAATCGAGGGCAATGAAGGATAAGTATAATAAGAATAGGTTAAGAACTATCCTGTGTTCTTAAATATTATTTTAAATATTTAATATATATAGATGTAAATGAATTTTTATTTCTCAAGAAATATTAATTTCTGATTAAAAATATTTCTAAAACAGGATTATTTTAATCGAAATCAAGATAACCTTATCTATTTTATTATATTTATCATAAATATTATCTTATTACTTCTTTTTATCTATTTTATTATATTTATTCTTCTTTTTTTTCTCATATAGATGTAATTAATATATATAGAGATATATAGATATATATAGATATATATAGATATATAAATGTATTTAATATATATAGATGAAATTGGAATTTTTATTTCATTACATTCTCAAGAAATATTAATTTCTGATTAAAAATATTTCTAAAACAGGATTATTTTAATCGAAATCAAGATAACCTCGAAGATAACCTCAAATTTACCAAAACAATAGAATAGGTTAAGAACTATCCTGTGTTTTTAAATATTATTTTAAATATTTAATATATATAAATATAATTAATATATATAGATATATAGATATATATAGATATATAGATGTATTTAATATATATAGATGAAATTGGAATTTTTATTTCATTACATTCTCAAGAAATATTAATTTCTGATTAAAAATATCTCCAAAACAGGATTATTTTAATCGAAATCAAGATAACCTCGAAGATAACCTCAAATTTACCAAAACAATAGAATAGATTAAGAACTATCCTGTGTTCTTAAATATTATTTTAAATATTTAATATATATAGATGACATTGGAATTTTTATTTCATTACATTCTCAAGAAATATTAATTTCTGCTTAAAAATATCTCCAAAACAGGATTATTTTAATCGAAATCAAGATAACCTCGAAGATAACCTCAAATTTACCAAAACAATAATAACCAACATACCAGATGCCAACGTAAAGAAGCGAGAAGATTTTGAGGTTCGTAGGGAATAAAATCCAGGCGCCCTGGATCTGAAATCAAGGTACCAATATCAAAATTTCCTATCTTCCACCCAAAACGCCTCCCGGCCGTTCGTGGGCGTGGAATCGGCCACCCATCTGACGATCGATCCCCGCGGGTTCTGCCTACCTAAAACACTCCGTTCCACAGATTGGAGCGGATCGCAGCCTTGGATGCTGTCCACTTAGATAAGGATAGCCCCTGGAGAAGGAAGGAATCGAAACAAGGGGGTTCACCGACAGCAGGCCAGTTATTCGCGCGCCAGAAGGTAGCTCTCGAAAATTTACTTTGGGCCTAAGTTGGAAAGAGGGAGAAGATTGAAAGTGGTTGAAAGGAGACGAAGGAATCGGCGAAGAAAAGGAAAGAGGAGAAAGGTTGAATATCGGAGGAGAGATGAGAGTTGGCCGATGGAATCGGCGGCTTCGAGAGCCAGATGCAGGATCCGCAGACGGAACGGAAGGAAGCATTTTTTTTATTATGTTTGTTGCGACCCTGAAGCTAGTGTAAAACAACAGATACGGAGTTTTTACGAACGTGAGAAGGTCGTTTCTGTGGGTGCACATCATTGATCAAAAATTGAAAATCGCTAATTGTAGATCCCGTAGAATTTTGTAGAAAAGAGAATTGTAAAAGGATACAATCTCTAAAAAAAATTTCTTTTTCTTCGAATGAAATATTTCTTCGACAGCTAGTGACATCTAGAATAGAGAGAGGAAGTCTCAAATCTATCTTTCAAATTGCATTTCTAAAATTGAAATTTTATATTTTATGGGATGCTATTTGGAAACCTTGTTCTTTAATCCAAAAAAATTAGATAAATGCAAATTGGAAAAGAAAATGATATTTTTGATCAATAATGTACGCGTACGAGTTGAGAACAAGAGGGAGGCTGATGACACTTTTCCGCATTCGAATTCAGAATCGCGGCTTGCTGCGCTATAATCTCTGTACGTAAACAGGGTTGTATTTTAAAACTGGATTTTTATTCGTTTCCTTGAGAGCCGGAACAGGACAGGAAAGGAGAGAGAATTTTTGCATGGTCGGCTATACTGTTTCGAACGTTCCAACGAACCGGATGTTATGAATGCTCATGCTCTTTTTACTCTCTCGTGCTTTCATTCAAACTGATGCTTTTCAATGGCCCTGTTCTCTCTTGTCACCGTCACTTGTTCGTGTGATGTTTCTCGGGAAGANTATATATATATATATACATTTGCTACATTTGTTCAAAAAAATATTATTATTATTCTCAATTTACAATTCCAGAAGAAATTTAAACAACATTTAAACGAAGACTCGTATTTCAAATTATATCTTGTAACAAGACACAGAGAAATAGTAAAAATTAAGATAACATATCTGCTCGAGCTTGCACAAATAGGCCATAAATAACCACGCTAAATTTTCTCCTTACATAATGTTATCCAGAAATTTCAGGTAAAAAGATAAAGCAGAAAAATACGTCCATAAAGAAACCAAAAAAAAAAAAAAAAAAGGGAACGGAAAGGCGTCATTTTCCATGTTCGTATATCTCGCTTAATTCGCATAATCGCTTGCAATTCGGAAAATAACGTGAATAAATATATTACAGAAGGCTGGAAGTGGAAAAGAAGAGGAAAGAAAGTATTTCGAGAACACGATGGCGAGAACAAGGAAGGATGGAGGAACGATAGACGAAGAAAATATTATGGTGGGAATGGAAGAAGGGAGAGGAAGAACGAGGGGATAGAGTGGGCGGAAGTGGCCCGTACAGGGAGGCTGCAACCACCTTGGCTTCCGCCACATTGAGGGCCACCGATACAACACACAACCACCTTGTGTTTTTCATCCTTCTCCCAGTGGTCCCTCACACGTGTTGCTTACCATCCTCTCAAAGAAACGTGTATTCCATTCCGCTTCTGCGAAACAGGGGCCTAAAATAAGTGGTCCTCTCGTCCATCGCGATCCCATTTCCTTCCTTGTTTTTCTTCCCTCCACACGCTTCGCCAATTCCTCTTTCACTTCCTCTTCAAACGCTTCTTCCGCCTTCCGCTCCTTCCTCTGCTCTTCTTGTTCCTTTCTTTCTATGAAAAAAAATGTGCATTATTTTGTTGAATTGCTAAATGTTCTTACTTCTCTATTCTTGGAGAATTTTCTTGCCATGATGGTAAATAATCATACGTGAATTATTTCACTGTTTCTCTTAATGGATTGCATTAATCTTGAGCTTGTTTCTCTTGAAAAATTTTATAATTCAGTATATTGTTATTTTGGAATATGTATAGATGATGAATAAGTACAGATGATTGTTCTTTTGAAGCTTGGAAGCCAAGAGATTCTTTGTATTTTTGGCTGTCTTTTTATTATTTTTCTTGATCTTTTGTACCTTTTCTTTTTCTTCTTCCTCTTCTTCCTGTTCTTCCCTGATGGTAAAGGGGTGATTGCGATATTGAATTTGAATTTAATAAATCCGTGAATAACCATCGTCCTCCATTTTTTTTTTCTTTTTTTTTAGCGACATCTGTCTGCTTCCTCCTTGAACGTTTCCTCCTTTCTTCTGGAACATCTTGCGGCTATTCATGGAAACACCAAAGCACCATTGTGACGACTTCATCTTCTTCTTTCAAACTTTTCTTTCCTATATAAGTAAAAAAAAAGGCCCAAGTCTTATATTCTTTAAAATTTTTCATCAAAAAAAAAAGGATGTGCTTAAAAAATTTCTACGACTTTCAATGAATTATTGTATCGCCCTACGATTGAAAATCGTGAAAAATTTAAGTCGAGATGAGTTATTAAAATTGAAGAAACATCGCCCACCCACGAAGTGGGTTGTGTTGGTGCGAACTGAAATTAATTAAGGGAGGGGGTGAGCAGGGTTAAATTAAAATTCGGGCTGACGAATGGTCAGGGGGTGGATAACTCGAAGGGTCAGTCTGCAGCTGACAAGATAATCGTCGTGAGCTACGTCAGTTGGTCAATTTCGCTAAATGGATGAATGCAAGCTAATGAAGCGAGAAGACGGATCACTTCTACGCCTTATTTATCTTCATTGCTTAAACATTGCCAGTTGATCAATTTTCTGGCTGGAAAATCTTCTTCTGATATTAATTACATCTCTGTACAAACGAAATTCATTCCTTTTTCAGTATATCTTCACTACGTATTTTTATATATATTGTACAATACAATAATTATAATTTGCACGTATAATTTTTTATCTTGTATTCTTCCTCTTTTGAAAAAATTCTTTTCAATTTTCTTAAACATCTTCAATGTTGTTATACGAAGAAAGAAAAGAAATTTCAAATGAGCAAATAATTAATCGGTAAAAATGCGTAACGTGTCGCTGGACGCGTCGTGCAAATACGTGAAATCGTATCCGATGACGGTGTCATTAGGTATGACCACCGTCACACTTTTCCAAAGTACGGTGGTTTCGAGGTAAACGGCCCTTTTACCATTTCCATTGTCCACGTACAAGCCTCTTATTCTGTACAGTTATACTGGAAGATTCCCTGCACTGAGACTTTTCGATGGATAATTGGTAATCGATTGGTTAATCCTTGAAAGAGAAACACTGTCTGTCAGATTGTCAATTAACGAAATTACGTAATTGTAAAAAGATCTTACTCGTATGTTCGAATAATCGTCGGATGATTAATTTAATCATCGAAAGATAGCAATGGTTAAGTCACGGAGTAGCACTCATTGAATCTCTAATCGATAATGAATCATTATCTTGGAATCACTGTGAAGTCAGCTTCGTATTCGTGTCTGTATTTCAATAAACCCGGGATTATTCGCTAGAATAATGCAAATATCTGGAATAGAAAAGGAACGAACGG